ACTGGTGTCGGATAACGGGACTCAATTCACCGGCGGGCGTTTCAAGTCTTTCTGTGNCCGCCTTGGGCGGATTCGCCGAGACTTGCACCGGCGTTGGGACCTCATCCTGGGCAGCAATCTCTGCTTCGGCCCGTGCCATCTCTGTCGAGGGCACGTACTTGTGCATCTGGAAGAGCGGGGAGTCTGACGGGATTCCAGCAGACTGGAGNCTGGTGTCGGATAACGGGACTCAATTCACCGGCGGGCGTTTCAAGTCTTTCTGTGAGCAACTCGGGATCCGTAATATCTACTCCACCCCTGCCTATCCTCAAATAAGACAATTATCAATGGGATCAAGAAGAGGTTGGAGAAAGCCAAGGGAAAATGGGCGGAAGAACTATTAAACATTTTGTGGGTGTACAGGACCACCCNTTTTCTGTTCAGTGCCTTGGCTCTGATCCTGTCCAGCTCCTGGATGAGAGCCAGACAGCTTTCCTCTGAGCCAACCGCCCTCTCCTCCGCAGCAGAAAGCCGTCGCGTCTGCTAGGTAATCCTCCCATCAGCATCGGCAAGGGCAACACTTAGCTTTTCAGCACCAACCTTAGCCGACTCAGCATCCTTGAGGAGTTGTTCGATCTGAGCAGCCTGCCCCGCCAGGGTAGAATCCCTGGCGGCCACGTCCTCCATAGCTCTGGCAAGGGCCCCCTCCGCTTCTTTCTTCTGCTCTCGGGCCCGCTGGAGGTCCATCCTAGATCCATGGTACCGTGTAGCTATTATGGAGATCTGCTGGGTAGCCTGCAAAGGAGGGAAAAAGGTGTGTCACAAAAATGGAAAGCAAGAGAGAAGAAACCAAAGCAAAAACGAACTTACCACCAGGGAATTCTGGATGATAGAGCGGAACAGCACGTTCGTGGATCGCCCCTTGTGGGCCGCCATGTCAGCCTCGAAATGCAGTGTCTCACTCACTGCATTGGTGACATGAGGATCCAGCAAAATGGAATCATCGACCCTGATCACTCGGTTCATGTGATCGGTGGCTCGGGGATTCCACTCCGCGGCTTCCACTGTCGGCGGAAGGGAAGGGGGAGTCTGCTGCTGCTGTTGTTGCTATTGTCGTGGCTGTTGCTGCTGCTGCTGTTGCGGAGGAGCAGGGGGTAACCCACGGCCTCTCCCGCTTTGCTGCTGAGCGGAAGGTGCCCTGGATCCTCTGTCGAGGCCATCGTGCCGATGTTTGACCCTTCTCTCCTCCTCTACCTGAGGATCCTGGTCAAGCACTTGACCCCGATTGAGAACTCTTGAGGATGGGGTGGAACTGGTCCCTGCAGAGGGGGCGCCGTCGATCGATCCTCGACCCCTCCCGGCAGCAAGGGCTTGCCTCTGCCTCAGGAACCCCAGGTCAATGCGAGGCGTGCTGGACATCGCGACCTCGAGGGCGTCCTCGGCGTCTAGAGATTGTAGAACTTGGAAGTCTGGCCACAAGTCTCCTCCCGAANCAAGGGCCCCCTCCGCTTCTTTCTTCTGCTCTCGGGCCCGCTGGAGGTCCATCCTAGATCCATGGTACCGTGTAGCTATTATGGAGATCTGCTGGGTAGCCTGCAAAGGAGGGAAAAAGGTGTCACAAAAATGGAAAGCAAGAGAGAAGAAACCAAAGCAAAAACGAACTTACCACCAGGGAATTCTGGATGATAGAGCGGAACAGCACGTTCGTGGATCGCCCCTTGTGGGCCGCCATGTCAGCCTCGAAATGCAGTGTCTCACTCACTGCATTGGTGACATGAGGATCCAGCAAAATGGAATCATCGACCCTGATCACTCGGTTCATGTGATCGGTGGCTCGGGGATTCCACTCCGCGGCTTCCACTGTCGGCGGAAGGGAAGGGGGAGTCTGCTGCTGCTGTTGTTGCTGTTGTCGTGGCTGTTGCTGCTGCTGCTGTTGCGGAGGAGCAGGGGGTAACCCACGGCCTCTCCCGCTTTGCTGCTGAGCGGAAGGTGCCCTGGATCCTCTGTCGAGGCCATCGTGCCGATGTTTGACCCTTCTCTCCTCCTCTACCTGAGGATCCCGGTCACGCACTTGACCCCGACTGAGAACTCTTGAGGATGGGGTGGAACTGGTCCCTGCAGATGGGGCGCCGCCGGTCGATCCTCGACCCCTCCCGGCAGCAAGGGCTTGCCTCTGCCTCAGGAACCCCAGGTCAATGCGAGGCGTGCTGGACATCGCGACCTCGAGGGCGTCCTCGGCGTCTAGAGATTGTAGAACTTGGAAGTCTGGCCACAAATCTCCTCCCGAAGTCCCCACCTCGGCGTCCGAAGGAACAAAGTCCTCTCTGACCCCGAGCTCTTCAACTACTCCCTCTACTTCTGCCTCCGAAGCCCGATCAGGGTCTTCTTCCAAGTTTTCCTCGACCTCTTGCCTCGCCGCCTGATCGAAGAGTTCAGACCACCGCGAAGGCTCAAAAGGCTGAGGAAGCTGTGAAAATTTCTTATACCCGGGGGTGTAATTCAGCAGGATGTGGGCAGCCCGGCCGAACCCGTTGTCACCAGTAAATCTCCAAACCGTGATTAGGTCGGCAAAGTTCACCAGCGACCGAGGGGGAGGAGCTGTTTCCCGAGCAGGGATATCTGCACAAACAAAAAAGTAGTCATGAACATGGGAAATCTGGAGAAAGAAATAATAAACCCGAAGGAACCGACGTACTTGTCGTTCTCCATTCCAGAGGGCATAACAAGTCATTATACTCGGGACCAACACCTCTCTGCCAAGATCCCTTGAAAATAAGAATATCGTCCTTGTACCCCTTGTCCGAGTCGGGAAGATGAGTTACAAGGTACATGGAGGGGTCCCTGGCTTTGAGGTAGAAGTGTTGGTGAGGCATGACTCTCAGGAGGGAATAACAAAAAAGGAGATCGTTGAGCCCAATATTTACCCCGAGACGCCTATTGAGCTCTAAGACCCCCATAATTATTCTGAAGACATTAAGGCAACATTGCCCGGGGAAGAGGCGGAAGTGAGAGAGGAACTGAAGAAGTAAATGGGGTAAAAGAAACCTAATTCCTCCCTCTATTATGGCCTTGGTATAGAAGGGCATAGCATCCTCGGCCCCGAGGGTAGGAGAGTGCACCACCGGGTCGTAATCCTCTATGTCTACGCACGGGGGAATGCTGTACTTGACCTTAAACCTATCAATCTGCTCACCACCCTTTACTTTATACTTCCCCGACCCCGAAGAACCAGCCTGAGGATTCTCGGGAGCAGGGTGACGACGAGGCATCTCTAAGAAAGTGAGAAATTAGAGGGTGTTTGTTCTTAAAAATCTCTGAGGAAGTTTCCCGAGGGTTAGTCGCTATGTATCAACCGGAGACACCTCCAGTCATCGAAAAACAAAAAGGGATAGGAGGAAGAAAAGAAGGAAGATACTGAAACTCACCCGAATGTCAAACGGAGTGTTTTCTGGAAAACCTTAAAGCGACTCCTTCCAGAAAATTCAGAAGCAACGATGGGTCTGCTGGCCTTAAGACTTTAAGGAAGAATGGGCAGTCGACGATGGAAAAAGAAAGAGATATCTGGCGAAGATTCAAGAAAAGGCTTTCTTGAGGAAGTTCGGAATGGCGAAACAAGAAAACGGAACAGGAGCCCCATTTATATAGAGGCAATTTCATCATTGGGCGCGAAAAACGAAATGGCGCATTTAATGCGCACGACATCCCAAGCCGGGAAAAGCTGCTCGAGGCAATAATGAAGCAGTTGTGGTTGTTGGGAAACCCTTCGTCTCCTTACGACGCGTGCCCTCGGTGTCAGAAGATTGAAGGTTGGGGGGCAGTTGATGGGACTTTTCTGAAATACTCCATGATGAAGACACGTGTCCTCGGTATTACTAAAACACTGTTGCTAAGATCAAGCACCATCGGC